CGTACTACACACACACACACATATATATATATATATATATATATATATATATACATACATATACATATACATATGGGTTTAAAACTCCTTCCACACACCTTCCAATAGGTAGAACTCGCACTCCACTATGTGCTTCGGCTCTACCGTCACCACGCGCTGGTCGCCATACAAATACTGATAGTCTTCTAGGGCTGTTCAGGCATGGAATGGATACAGGCATCAGCAGACAAACGTCAGTGGGATGCTATGGATAAAAGTCAGTAAGATATGAAATGCATTCATCTTCTGGGTTGTATGTACGCCTCCCTATACCTTATCTTCAACGTCTGATACACACGCATTGCCGAAATGTGTATGTAGCACGCCTTGCCCCTCTCATACCCATTTTGACCATGTGACCGATCACCGTCTTCAGATTGGTGTTACCACACTCCTCCACCTTATTAGCCAGATACAGGACGGTCGGCACCATCAGCAGCGGATGACACGCCTGATAGGAGTTCCTGCATAGAGTGTGTCGCATATATGCATTGTCCGTAAATGGCCTGGTCACCCGATGTCAAAGGGAGGGATTGGGTATGAATGATGGGGCTGTGCATGAGCTATTTCATACCCACACCATTACACCATTAATTATTGAGCTATTTCATAGCCACACCATTACACCATTGGTTATTTGAACCACCCTGTCTCGAGTCAATAGGGTCTTATATTCAGGGCTGGGGGTTCACTTCAGAAACGATCTCGGACGCGCAACACTCCTAACGTACGGGGCACGTGGTAGGAAGGTGTCAGGCGACTAAAGTGAGGAATTGTAGGGTTTTAGGGTTCTACGGTTTACCCTATAACGGGACATGCTTACCCCTGTATAGCACTACAAATAAACAAGCAGACCACGTTCCAGGGCCAATGCATAAAAGTACTACAGATGGGAGACGACGAGAGCCCTATGGACTTCCGATGGATACGGACATATGAATGAGAAGAAGTGACTTATAGACAGGCAATAAGAGACTTATAAACATGCAATGAATACGAACATACGTACGAGAACAAGTGACATAGACATGAAATAAATACGAACATACAAATGCGGGGGTGTTTACAACACAAGATTGAGACACACGCATACGTGTACACACATACACACGCACACGCACACACACATACTTGGCGAAGAACCTGCGCATGTAGACTATAGCGGTGGCTATAACACGCTGTTTCATCTGCATTCGCTTACCCAAATTAAGTGCCACTGTGAGATGAGTTCAATGTGAGGAGACTAAATACAAGTGTACGGCATATACAGAAACGGGCCCGCGCCGGCCCAAAATAACAACCAAAGTGGTGGAGCTTTTGCACGCACATTTGTGAGCCAACGGCCAGGGTCTAGATTGTCTTCAGTTCACAAGTAAACACGGTCGAAAAGACATACCTACACTATAGCACATGTTTGTCCAGTCATGTTTATAGTATACTCCAGGTCGTATTGACAGCATACTACAGTTCTAACAACCCTGTATACACTATAGAACAGGTATATCCAACCATGTTTACTATATAGAACAGGTCAATCCAACCATGTTCATAATACAGAACATGTCTATCAACCACGGTAACGCTATAGAAGATGTTCTGTTCAATGTTTATGGTATAGAACAGGTCTATCCAACCATGCTTATATTTCGGAACAGGTCGATAAACTATGTTTACATTCAGGTCAATCCAATCATGTCTGTATTATAGAACAGGTCCAACCATGTTCATATTTCGGACCAGGTCAATCCAACCATTTTATAATATAGAACATGTTTATCAACCATGTTAACACTATAGTACATGTTCTCTTCAACAATGTTTATGGCATAGAACAAGTCGTTCCAACCATGTTTATATTTTGGAACAGGTCAAACCATCCATGTTTAAAATTTAGAACATGTCTATCAACCATGTTAACTCTATAGAACATGTTCTGTTCAACCATGTTGATGGTTTAGAACAGGTCTATCCAACCATGTTCATATTTCGGAACAGGTCGAAAAATATGTTTACATTTATAGTACAGGTCTATCCAATCATGTCTATATTATAGAACAGGCCTATCAACCATGTTTATACTATAGAACAGGTATATCCAACCATGTTTATACTACAAAACAGGTATATCCAACCATGTTTACACTATAGAACAGGTACATCCAACCATATTTACACTATAGAACAATCTATCCAACCATGTTTATAATATAGAACAGGTGAATCTAACTTTGTTTATAATATATAACATGTCTATCAACCATGTTGACTCTATAAAACAGGACTATCCAACCATGTTCATATTTCGGAACAGGTCGATAAACTATGTTCACATTATAGTACAGGACTATCCAATCATGTCTATATTATTAAACAGGTCTATACAACCATGTTAACACTATAGAACAGGTATATCCAACACAGATACACAGGTATATTCAACCAAGATTATGCTCCATCCATGTTTGTACTATACTATCGACATATGCAATCATGTTTACACAATAGAACAGGTACATTCAGCCCAAACAAGATCCCACTAAGTTGCAGGTGTATTTATGCATGTTTACACTATAAAACACGTCTATTCAACCCTGCTTACACTATAGAGCAGCTGTCAACATGGTTGAATAGACATGTTCAATAGTGTCCACCAGTCAAGTGCCATCAAAACAAACAAGTATCATACTGTCTGCAAGGAATATCTGCATAACCACCAGATCCTTCTCAGTGATGTCATTGGTGCCCAGTTCATGCTTCGTCAGCTCCAACTCATGCTCGTCCAGCAACCAGTAGTTACTGCAAGGAAATACAACAGACAAAGCTATAGTATATGGCAGCAGTTTTCCTACAGAGTATGATTTATAGTAGTCCTATGCTTGTAATTATGATATATATATATATATATATATATATGTGTGCGTGTGTATAATATAATATACTATCTAT